CGCAGTTAGCCACTGTATACTCGAAAATGCAATGTTGCCACTTTTTCTCATTAAACCATGTTCGAATCGTGGAAATTTTGGAAGATCACGGTTGCTTTTAGCATTTAGATTCTTAATGCAAAAATGGAGTGGCATTTAGGTGACGAATTTTGTATGGATAAATGTACATTTAGAGTAGCATTTAGAGCTAAATGCGCTAAATGTGCTTTTACGCGTAAGCAAAAACAGCCCATAAGCAAAAACATCCCATTAGAAAAATATGTTCGAAAGTGCTAAATGTTGCATTATGCAGCAAAACGCTGCATTATTGCGAATTCGCCGCGATTTGTTACGATTCGCACTAGCATTATAACCATAGAGTCCGTCGGCGCTATTAGTTATTCATTTCAATTAATATGGCAACACTTTCAACTATCCTTCTTTTGACAGTCTTCGCTGCAACGGGATTGGACGGGATTTCGTGAAACGTGGTGCAAGGGCTTGATTCTTTTTGGAAAATATTTCGAAGGCATGTTTTCAATTGATTTATTTGAAAAAACCTAAGCGTTTCTTTCTCAGTGAAGTGTTTAAGTTATGTATAAAACTGTACAAGTAGTGGGCGCGCCGAGATTTTACATTCATATTCCCGGCATCAGACACATATTCGCCCAGTGCCAACAGCGCCACATTGCCGTTGTTACCAAATCACAACCGTGCACTGTTGATGATAGCGATAACTTAGGGAAAGAACAAAGGAACCTTATAGAACTGCGGAACCTCGGCGTAGGGAATCTTTCTTCCTCAACACACAACTCATTCAACACTCTTCACATAGGCGGAATTCCTCATGAAACTTTCTGTCGGCGCTATGCAACATTGGTCGGTGTCTAGAAGCAACAAACAGATCATTTAAACGTATCGCCCTATATTGGAATAGCTAATGTCGAATACAAATTTAGTGCAAATTCTACATTCTCAATTCTTTAAATGCGGAAAGTTTTGTTTGCACCCTTCCCAAACACCAATATCACCTAATTTACTGTAGGTTAAGTACAAATGTCGCGCCGTGCATGCGCATGATTCATACACATTTTCGTAGTAATATTTTCGCCTAAAAAGTAAAAAGTAAAAAGTACATATTTCATACTTGAATACTTGTTAGTTCATTTTTGTAATTCACCGCTGGGTTATAGAGAGTTAGAATGAGAAGGCAACATTTGTTATTGACGCTGTGTCTCATGCCTCGGCGCACTCATCCAGACTGGTGACAAGATTGCATCAGAAAAAATACCTGTAAAAGCCAAAGTGGCAGTAACAGCAATTAAGTGAAGTGGTAAAGATAACTTGCCCAAAGAGTGGTAGTTTTAGCAAGAAAACACTTTCTAATTAATTAATAGACCGTTGAAAATGAAAGACGCTTTTTCTATATATTAATATTAATTAGCTTAATAGCTTTCACCAGGATCATATTTTCATTTTCCCCCATTTAGTGTATGCATACTTTTTTTCTAAAAGTGAAGAAAATTTTACTTACCATTACATCTCATTTTTTACAGGCTACTAAAATGAAGAAAGAAAAACAAAAGAACACATCTGTCGAAGCTGCTGGCAAAAAAGGTTAGTTTCCGTTGATAAGTTTTGTATGCCACATGGCAAGTAGGGGTTTTACCAAAATTTTGTGATTGATTTTTTACAACGTCGCATTTATGTGCATGTGTATGTGTATTTGTTTGATTATTTTTGTTGTATTATTTTCAAAGAGACTGCTAAACATTAGAAATATTAATATTAAATATAATTTCAGAATTAAATCCTTGGCCCGCATATATTGAGGAGCGTAATGCTCTTTGGGAGAAATTGAAAGTTGAACGTGAAGCAGAGTTGGCTGCCAAGCCCCGTACACCAATCAAAGTAACACTCCCCGATGGCAAACAAGTGGATGCTACATCATGGGAGACCACACCTTACGATGTTGCGAAGGGTATTAGTCAAGGTTTAGCCGATAATACCGTTATTTCGAAAGTGAATGGCGATGTATGGGATCTGGACCGTGTACTTGAAGGGGATTGCAAATTGCAATTGCTTAAATTCGATGACCCTGAAGCTCAAGCTGTCTTTTGGCACAGTTCAGCGCACATCATGGGTGAAGCTATGGAGCGCATATATGGCGGACACTTGTGTTACGGACCACCAATCGATAATGGCTTTTATTATGATATGCATTTAGACGGGGAAGGGGTAAGTACATATTAACAAATGTGTAAAACGTTGAACTAAAATAATCATTCTTTGATCAGATCTCTACCAATGACTATCCCGCTATGGAGGGTCTCGTAAAACAAATAGTTAAAGAAAAACAACCATTCGAGCGTTTGGAATTGAAAAAAGCAGATTTATTAGAAATGTTCAAGTATAACGAATTCAAGGTACGCATTTTGAATGAGAAAGTCAATACTGATACCACTACTGTGTACAAATGCGGGTCACTCATTGATCTGTGTCGTGGTCCACATGTACGTCACACCGGTAAGGTAAAAGCCCTGAAAATCACCAAAAACTCGTCCACATACTGGGAGGGTAAAGCCGATGCAGAGACTTTGCAGCGGGTTTATGGCATTTCTTTTCCTGACCCAAAACAGCTGAAGGAATGGGAAAAAATACAAGAGGAAGCAGCGAAACGTGACCATCGCAAAATTGGTCGAGAACAGGAGTTGTTCTTCTTCCATGAATTGTCACCAGGCTCGTGTTTCTTCCAACCACGTGGGGCACACATCTACAATACGTTGATGAACTTTATAAAAGCCGAATATAGGAAACGCGGTTTTCAGGAAGTCATCACACCAAACGTATACAACTCAAAACTTTGGATGACTTCTGGCCATTGGCAGCATTACGCAGAAAATATGTTCTCATTCGAGGTGGAAAAGGAAAAGTTTGCACTGAAACCTATGAACTGTCCAGGACATTGGTGAGTAAAAATATGATGCGTCTTGAAATATAATAAATTCATATTAAAAAATCGACCCTTTAGCCTCATCTTCGATAACCGCAATCGGTCGTGGCGAGAGTTACCTCTTCGCCTGGCTGATTTCGGTGTGCTACATCGCAATGAACTTTCAGGTGCTCTCACAGGACTCACACGCGTCCGTCGTTTCCAACAAGATGATGCGCATATTTTCTGTGCGCCTGATCAGATTAAGAACGAAATGAAGGGATGTCTGGATTTCTTGCGTCATGTGTATACAATTTTCGGTTTCTCGTTCAATCTCGTCCTATCAACGCGCCCTGAAAAATATCTCGGCGAATTGGAACAGTGGAACACTGCTGAAAAAGCACTCGCTGAATCCCTAGACGAATTCGGTTTACCATGGAAAGAGAATCCCGGTGATGGTGCTTTCTATGGACCAAAAATTGATATTACTATTATGGATGCACTAAAACGTGCCCATCAATGCGCCACTATTCAATTAGATTTCCAATTGCCAGAGCGATTTAATTTAAGTTACATTGCAGATGATGGTGAAAAGAAACGACCTGTTATAATACATCGTGCTATTCTCGGTTCTGTTGAGCGTATGATTGCCATACTCACAGAGAATTATGCCGGTAAATGGCCTTTCTGGTTGTCGCCACGTCAAGTGATGGCTGTGCCGGTTGGTCCTCAATACGATGAGTACGCACAATCCGTACGTAACCAACTGCATGCCGCTGGATTTATGGCTGAAGCTGATACGGATGCTGGGGATACTTTGAATAAAAAAATTCGTAATGCTCAATTGGCACAATTCAATTTCATTTTGGTGGTGGGCGAGAAAGAGCGCTCCTCCAATACGGTTAATGTGCGCACACGTGACAACAAAGTACATGGTGAAGTCTCAATTGCCGATTTGATAACTAAGTTAAACAAGGTACGCGATGAGTTCATAACAAACGAAGATAGCTTCTAGATTTGAAAGTTATGGCATGGCTTGAGAATGGAGGGTAGGAGGTAGGAGGTGCGGTAATTTATTTTTATTTTTTTTTCGATTTGTAATGCTTTTAAAGTACGCCAAATGCTTAAATATGAATAGTGATGTCTTCTGAGAACTCAATAAATATCCATAAAAATAAGGTTTGGTTTCATTAATTTAGGATTAGGATTTAAGAAAACCGAGCCTCGAAGCTATTGAAATTTCACATCGTCAATTTGCATCAGGCGCACACAAAGGTATAGCAGGTGCACGCGACATGTTGATGTCAATGTAGAAGGAGACATGTTGCTGTCAGCATTTGTTGCTAGTTTGTGAAACATGTTGCAGTCAACACTTATGTTGCTAGTTTGTGAAACATGTTGCTATTATTGCGGGAAGCAACATGTTAAGGTGTACGAAATGTTTCATTTTCTTCGTCGTGCATTCGTTTTCGATCTGATCGGTGAAAAAGGTTTATTAGTTAAAATAATTGCATCATTTTTTTTGGTTCAGAATATTCTATTCAATAGACTCGTGTTTGCATAGCTGAAAAACCCGGCAACCTTATGTTGCTACAAACTTGCACTATCGACATGCTTCGGCCTCATGTATTTTTCGGATTGTTTTCAAGAGTTCAAAAAAAAAAAAACCTTGAGGAAAAATTTGCCTCAAGTAGCAGAATTTTGCATTAACTTACTGAAATTCTTGCTGATGTTGATAAATATAAAATTATAAAATGTTATTATGGTATTAGATATTTCGAAAACAAGTGAAGAACATTTTTTTTTTCTTTTTCTCGTATGAGTCCCTATTAAATCTCTTTAAAACATACTTATGTTTACACCTGTAAATTTTTGATAAAACAACTTCCTTATGGAAATCGCTGAATTGCTTGATTTCTATTCGACATTGAACGATCCACGTTCATAAGGCGCTTCGCACATTTACCGTCCAATCATAGTTGCGTTACTGTATCTCCTTTAAAATCGCCAACGGCCAATCATAGAAGTGACAAAAACTGATAAGTGTACATTTGTAAAAATGTAAATAATTGTAAAGAGCGTTGTTTCATACGATATAATACCCATCCATTAGACAGGGAATTATTTTATTGAAAAAAAAACATGGTTGGAAGTATTGCAACACACTGACGATACCTTCTAGCAAAATTCGACTATAAAACCGAGAGTATTCACCCCAAAAAATGTTCAGGATTGGATGTGCAGAAGTTCTTGGAATCTTTGCATGACAATTGTAACAATGATGAATGTATGTATTTGGACCACAAAGGTGCAGAAAGGCAAAATTGTTTTCTTAAAAACGATGTGTATACATACATCTTATATAAATACATACATATATATAATAACTAGAAAACTTGTAATACTTCATTATAGGTTATTTCAAAAAACTTTATTGCAAATATGTTGTTCCTTTAAAAATATGTTCACGTAGCAAGTGCAATTTCCCACTGATCATTCAAATGCTATAACTTAATTTTAAATTTGCTTAAAATGTTTTAATTTTTCTTCATATATCTATGTACATACTGCTTTACGAATACATATTGTAGTCGCTTAAAGTTTCATTCATGCGTTTTACTACATTTATCGCAATATGTACGTATGTATGTATGTATCTGTTTCATTGCGTGCACATATGTACATATGCATGCATTTTGTAAGCTGCGTTATAAAATTGGTTTTGGTGGCCACTAATACGAAGCAAATCATTTTATTTTTATTTTTTTATTAAATGCGCTTTGCATATCTTTCATAAGATGCCACCAATAAATTTGTATCTACTTTAAATTTTTTATAATTATTTATTTTCTTCGCTGAAATTTTCTGCTGAAATGTAATGTAATTTTGTATTTAAAATAATATACTAGTTACTGTCTCGATTGTAATTAACTACTCGTATTCTCTTAAGCGATGCATTATATTCAACTTCATAAGCTTGAGCACATAGTGGCAGCCGGTTACAATACGCTTTAATTAAATTTACTTTGCAGAGCTACAACAGCAGCGCAGTCTAAAATTGTATATATGTACAAATTAGTAATAAAAATTAAATCATCAACATAGCCAGTAACAGGTACTGAAAAGTTAACGAAATAAAAAAATGGTACTCAAAATAGATTTCTACAGATTTGCAAAATGAAAATAGAAATAACACCCATGTATGTATATTTTTTATAGATGATCGCTTGCGCTTATATTGCAAAAGAATATGAAATTTTTTAATACCTTCACAGAAATACTCGAAATTTAGGGAACAAATTTCTGATAAGAACGTTGTAGTGTTTACTATGGACTGGAAATAAATTAAACGTTATCTATACCAAAGCTTGTTAAAAACACGCCAAGTTACAGAAAAACGTTCCACCATGATAAAACAGGAAAAGGGAATGTTTGGTAAATATGGGAGCTCCCGTCAATCAAAAGATATGTGCACACTTGTTCAATATTTTATTCACTCTGTTACAGTTACTACTGAATTTCAGTAAATAACGATTTTATCTAGCTTTATAAGTACATTATAGACCCAAGAAGCTTCGGTTAGTAAATAAAATGGGCGATAACGGCATTCATGCACCTAAATTTATGCAATAGATCTTCAATAAAGTTTATATAAAAACGACTGCTGGAAATCTCAAAGCAATACTAGTTGCGTTCCCCAACTTTTCTGGGTTAAAATCTGTAAAACTGTCAAAAGGCAAAAGACCCCGAGAAAACCGAGTAGGGACCGCTTTCTGGCAAATTCCTGTAAATTCTTGCAACTTCTTGCGAGTTAGGGAACACAACTACAACATGCAAATATGCAAATGTAATGTGCACAATGTAGGCAGTTATTATTAAATTTAAAAAAAACTTTCTTAACTATGCGTATGATTTTTCAATTTACTACACAACAGCTGCTTGTCAATACCACCAACTACCAACCATCAAGCTTTGTAATTGTATAGCGTAATCAGATATTTTCAACTCTGGTTTCATTCTAAATATTTCAACTCTAAACTCATTCAGTTTGAAGAAATCGTTTCTTCGTATTAAATGCTTGTATGCGCCTACCTTTATCGTTACGATCATTTAATTTTTCAGTTAATAAGTTTTAGTTTTATTTACGTTATAAATAAACTTAAAGATAAAATTGTGTTCCTCTTCTTAGGCTTTCTTATACTCGTCTACGTCGTCATCATACTGTTAAGTTATCATTAAGCGATCGCCCCTACTTCAATTATAATATTATTAATTAATTAGATCGTTCACTACATTCATTGAATCTTCAGCAGGCACAACCACCCTCCGGATCTTTTGATTCGTTAGGTGAATCCTTCAGCACAACCTCTTGCATATCTTCCGAGGGTTTATTCTCAGTCGAATCCATTCCAGGCAGCGCTGCCGCCACGCGTCTAAAAAGTTGCTTCACATTATAACCGGCCTTCGCGCTGGTTTCGATAAACATCACATTCAGTTCCTTCGCCTTTCGTTCGCCCTCCTCGGTGGAAACCTGTCGTTTATCTGATAAATCGGTTTTATTACCAACTAACATAATGATGACGTCACTGCCACGTTCCGTGCGCACATCATCAATCCATTTGGATGTTTGATGGAAGGAGTTTGTATTTGTTATATCGTAGACAACGACCGCCACAGTGGAATCACGTATGTAGGATGGGATCAGTGAACGAAAACGTTCCTGGCCGGCTGTATCCCATAGCTGTAGGCGAACGGTGCGATCTTCAAGGTACATGGTTTTCGAAAGAAAATCGATACCAATTGTCGCCTGATACGTGTTGTCAAAGCTATCGTACATGAAGCGTGTGATCAGCGAAGTCTTTCCGACACTCTGTTCGCCGAGAAACACCAGCTTAAACTTGCGCAGGGGATTGCCAAATTCGCCGGATGACATGTTTAAGGGTACTTTGTTTTATTTGTGATGATATTTACTTGATTAGTTTACGTCGTCTGCTACTGTTTCTGTTTTTGCTTACGGGAGTATCGCCGATTAGTCCTTGCTTTTAATCTTGTTTTTAGCACTCCTTTCGATTTTTCTTCTTGATCTAGTCGTTGACGTTGGCGAAGCTGCTTTCTTTCTTCTTTTTCCCCGCTGACCTCTTTGATTTGGGTTGGGTTACTTGGATTTGATGCACTATTTAAAAACAACCACAAGAGTCATCAACTTCAGTATAATTATAGCACTGAATATTTTCGTTGTGAAGTAAACGCGTTATTTTTTATATTTTTAATACAATTTATACCTTTTTAGTCTTCACCTACACTTTTTATATCGCTTTTTCATTAGTCACCGTCAGCAATCAGCTTATAACGTTATATTTGTACTGCGTTACCGACATGTGTCGTGTTAAAAAAGTGTCAAAAGGCCAAAATGTTTTTTTTTTTTCTTAGAGATGCCATGTCGCATCAAAAATCGTAAAACTGCAAGTCGTCCATTAACAGGTGCCCCGAGCGTGGGGAACGCAAAAAACCCCGTAACGTGCCCGGAACAACATATCAGCTCTAACAAATGATTTTATGTATATTTTCCTTATATGTACACATTTCCGCCCGAAACAAAAGTTCGGGCTGTTTCGGTTACGAAGAAGACATTTACGATCCAAAATTGGAAGGTATTCGCTCTCTATTAAGGCCCGTCCACTAGAACTTTGGCGTTGCGTTGGCGTTGGCGTCGCTTCAACAGCTGACTATGAATACATGTATTCAAATGTAGCCGTCCACATAGCCAAAATTCGACAACGCTCACGCCAACACAAAGCAAAAAGATGGCCAACTCTTATCTTTTCGCGTGCGTTGCTCGTCAGCTGTTGCAAACAAATAAAATTGTGTGAAATATTTTTCGTTTTTAATCAAGTGCGGACAAGAAATATCGCTTTACTCATTTTTCTAAAGTGAGGAACACTTTCTGGGCTGGGCCCGCGGGCTCGTGTGGAACAAACCTATTAATTCAACTTCAGAACTCTACAATGAACATCTCGCTCATATCGTGCGATCAGCTGTGCTTGCTGCAATACAATTTTTGAACGCATCGTTGTTGCATGCATTTACTTGGTGCTAAGGTTTGCGCCAATAGGCGCGGTACGGTACTGTGGGGTATAACCCCATGATCCAACAACACAAGATTTGACGAGATGAACCAAAATAAAAAAAGTAATTTTCTGGCTGACGGTTGTTATTTCGGCGCCATATTATTTTCTTTGAAAAGTAAACAATCAATATGAAGACGAAGCATATGGGGTGTTCACAGTTCGTTCCAAATTGTGTCTGAAAATGTAGACGTCTACATTTTGAGACATCTTTAGCATCACACTGTGAGCACCCCTTTCTAGCAGTCGTCGCAAAATCGTCTCAAAACTTTGCTGGTGTTGCCAGACATTTCTTCTTTGCGTGCTTTTTTATATGTCGCCTTTCGATTTTGTTTCTGAAAAATTGTAATTATTTAACTTAATTACCAATTCCTAATATTTGTTATTTCTTTGCATTGATTTGTTTCTTTTCATCAGAAATTGCGCTCAAATTAAATGCAAATACAGAAAACGTGCCCAATAAATAAAAAAAAT